TTATTTTGATTGATAATCATAAACATGACATGAACCTCGTGAGCCAACAAAGGTTTCATAGTAAATAAATTAAATAAATGTAAGATCACACAAAAATATAATTAAATAAAAAATCCCTAAATTTTTTTTTTTTTTTCTTTTTTAAACCCAAATGACCAAATTTTCCAATGCATAAGAATCATCGGTTTCCTCCCTGGTTTTCATTTTCTCCTCTTCAAAGAATCTTTTAATTTTCTCATCGCTATACCTACAACTAAAATGAATTAAAATGAAAATTTGATTTCGATTTTCCTTGACAACCTTTTTCAAATCTTTCCAATGGGTGTGCTTGGTTTTTTTGGCTTGATCTAAATGCTCGTCTAGCAAAAAGCTGCATTCGGTAATTATGACGGGAACTTCTTTAAATGCCCACTTATCATTGGTCTGATTAGGAAAAAACGCATTGATCGTGGTATCCCCGTTAAACGCAAACAATGGAGCCAGGTAGGGTTCCATGATCTCTAACGAAGGATTTTCTTGACGGAATTTGGCAATTTCTTTGGTTGTCATGTGCGTGTAAGCAGACGAGAGTCGTTTTCGTTTTGAATAAACTACGTAACCTACACAGGGGATGGAATGATCCATTTGAGTTACGTGAACTTGGTATCCTACACCATCACCGGTATTTTTAACGATCGATTTGGTTTGAACTGACATGTCAACCTTCACGTCTTCCTCCTCCTCTTCGTCATCTTCACGAGAAGTAATCTCGACCCTTCCGGAAGAAGTTAGCGACAGTGAAATCTCATCACCTTGCTTAACACCCAAACAAGAAAATGAATGACCCCTTCTCAAGGCATAATGATCAGTAATTTCTTGAGCGGATCTCATATAATTCTCAATCAATCCAACAGATTCCATTGGTGCGTAAATGATGGGAGGTCTTTTACGTGAATTATACCTATACAACCCTAAACAATGATCTGTATGCGTATGTGTGATGAATATGTGAGAGGGAAGGTGATTCGTTACTTTTGTTCCACCGTCAAAGATCCAATTTAATTCCGGAATGTAAAATGATGTGAGATCAGCTGCTCGGGAAGTTCCTATCAATGTTAACTCGGGTAATTTTTGAGGGGGTGTCGAGAGGGTCATTTTTGGAAAAGTCCACTTTCGAATTTTTGGAAACAACTTAAATATATCGGGAGCCTCGGTTGGGACGGGCAAAGTCGACGCCGATGGCAAAACTGACATGTTTGGAAAAAAAAAAAAAAAATTGGTTGGGGGTATGAAGGAATCTTGACGAATTATGATGTCTTTATAATACAATTTTTTGTGCCACATTTTTTGCGATTACTGCGTGTAAAATTTAGCAAAAAACATTTCTACGCCGCCATTAACCGCAAACTAATTTGTAAATAACCAATCAGATCCTTTCCCGCCAAATTGATGGGATTCAAATAATGAAACCATTTTATAATTGCGCTAAACTTTTAATAGGTACAAACAAGTTGTGGGTTTTTTTCCCGAGAAACGTAACAAAAAAACCATGCTTAGGTATCACCACGCGTTTCGACCTCGTCCGTGCGCAGTTCTTAAAATTGTCGTGCGCAACAAACAATTTAACTTTTTATGTGGATGACATTCCAAATTTGGAAGAAAATTAATTCACGCGAATGATTTTCCGTTATACATTCACGACGTATATCTATCTATCTATCCGTGACAGGGCTGCGGATATCAAGAATGGGAGATGATATAATCTTTAGATCACGACCAAATTTGGAACCATCACCAGAAAATGGAAATCTCGATTAGAAATCAAAATTCTTTTGGGAAGGATAGATCTTCGCGTTTGTTAATTTTCAAAATAATATGAGTATGAGAAACCATTTTTGTTCATGCCTTTTTATATTTTTTCATATCATCATTCTTTTTTTCCACATACGATACATTTTTTTATACAATAAGAAAAAAAAAAAAAAAAAAAAAAGAAAGTTTTGGGGAAAAAAAATACTGTGGGGAAATTATCAGATGTTAACACATTATCAACAATTGTTATATAAGTAATATGCTATTTTGAACTTCATTGTTAAATCCATAAATTTAACTTTAAAAAGTTTTTTTGTGTAGTTTAAAAGTTGAATTACTGAATTATGCATGCATCAAGTCCCCCTTTGCATAAACGTAAACATAACCAATATATAAATAAATGCTTATAATTTTTCCTTAAAAAAAATAAAAATAAATTTTATCTTTAATTTTATTATCTTTATTTTTTTAAAAAAAAAAAATCATTTTTTTTGCTAGCTCCTTTTGAAATATATACAAGGAAAAAAAAAACATGGACTCTCCACAATTCCGTTTTTTAAATAAAAAAGAATTGTCCTACATTTACGAAGGAAATTCTAACAATGTAACACTTTCATCGCTTTTAACTCTCTCGCGTCCTTTTACATATTCCCAATTAACACAATCAGTTAAATTCGGTTTAAATAAAATTCAACAATATTATCCAATGTTAAGATCATGTATTACAATAATGAATGGTAAATGGTGTTTCTGCGAGAAACCATCATCTCGAAACGAAATTTCATTTAATTGGATAAAGATATCATCTTTAAACGAAACGATTGCAAACACCTTAGAAAATGTATGTGCCCGAGAGATGACAAATGACTTTATAGTCGAACAACATCTATGTAGATTTATTTTGATTACACGTGATACTTTAATGCCAACTTCTCAAAACATCGACGACCCAAAGGAGAACTCAACAACAGAGGTTGGATTCGTATTTTGTTTTCTACACACAGCCTTTGATGGTAGAAATATATTTACCGTCACCCGTGATTTTATTAAAGAATTTGAAAAGATTCTACTAAATTCATCCGAGAATATCGTTAGTACGCAAGGATTAAAAGAAGGTCAAGTAAATAACTTGACTTTGCCCAAATTTCAAACTTGTTATTCAAATTTCATCTTTTTCAAAGAGGTAATAACATTATTCGGTTGGTTATTATACAAGAGACCACGTAACCTTCCATCTTCATCTCGACAAATTCAACCTCCATTACAACCCGAGAAAAGTAAAACGAATACGTACTTTCATACTTTAACGAGGCAGGAAACATCATATTTAATTCAATTTTGTAAACGACATAAATTTTCAGTCACATCGTTATTGTCAACGTGTATTTCGGAGATCGTCTCTGCAAAGAATGGAGGAAACACTGTGCTGGGCGGGTTGGCGGTTGATTTAAGACAATTTTTAAATATTTCTGTTAAAATTAACGGAGCTTTTAATTCTTCCATATTAATAAGACATCCAAAAGTCGAATTTTTATTTGAAGAGAAATTCCATAGATCTAATTATATAAATTATTTGGTAAACAGAATTAAAATCACTAACAATATCATACAACACTCGATGAAATCAGGTTTGATTTTTCATAATTTAAAATTTCTGATGAATGGACCTATAAAAAGCAATGATAATATGATTAAAGAAGAGGAGACCATCATTCCTTTAGCCTACGTATTGTCTAATCTCGGAAATTGTAATCAAATTGTTCCTGAAATTTTAAAGGAAGATATTATTACAGATTGGAATAATGTATTTTTGTCTTCTACCGCCAAGCAATCAAGAGGTACCAGTATTGAAGTAACTACACTCACGTTGCATGGTAAATTGTACATGTCGTTTTGTGCTTGTTCCAAATTTATTTCCAATGAGGATTTAAGAGGTTTCGCGGTTAATGTGCTTGATTTGATAAAAACCATTTGCGAGCATACCAGCACTCTACAGGAAAAGAATCAATAAAACATATGATTATAAAGGAAATTATACATACGTATCTATGATTTTTATCGAGATTATCGATTATCATTATTTTTTCGTGATACGTGAAATTTTGCTATAAATGCCTCATCACTTTTTTTTTTTTTTTTTTTTTTTACAAAAAATTAAAATTTTAGCAATGGATAACGGTGAAGTGAGGTTAGTTGGCATGTTTTTTACCGAATTGATTTAGCATTAGCATAACTAAAGCACATTTGTGTGTACAACGAGTTCTCCTTAACAAAAACTTTCGAGTTGTCGTTGAAGGATTTTTGTGCGATAATAAACTTACAAAACTTTTAGCTAGGCATAATTTTATCAAAATCATTTTTATCGATTTTTTGATAAGTAGCGTTGGTATTAGTTACATGTAATATTAATCGAGAATTTATGTTTTAGGATTTTTAAAAAAAAGGTTTATTGGGATAAATACGGTGAGTTTAAGTTTATTTTTTTTTATTTTTTGGAGATTTGTAAAATGATTCGTTGTCAAATTAACAAGCGAAAAAACATTCATGGATCAATAGATATATGGATATCCTATCCGGATTCGTAATAAATCCGGAGTTTTTTACACTAATTACAAAAATGGTGGTATTTTGTGGGGAAAGTTACTATTCCGGCAATCACACTGATCGACTCAAACGTCAAGCGGGGAGTCATACTGCGTAGAATTATATAGTCATTCGCTACGCTCCGGACTAATAAATCGAACGAATTCCACATGCACATCAGGCCATTTCATTTTAACAAAAGATAGTACATTTTCTCCTTCATTAAATTTTTTACAATTTAAAAGTGGTTGTAATAAAGTAAGAATAGTTTTTATTTCAGGTTTAAAACCATTTGATTCCAATTCTGTAAATACTTTAATAGCATCATCAAAAGCTTTAAATCGACATAAAGCTTCAATGTAAGAATTATAATGATTTAAATTTAATATATATCTGTCAGGATTATTTAAAATTATGTCCCAATGATCTTTTAGCATGGAAATATTTCCAATGTATCCAATTTGATCCAATAAAACTGATATGGATGGAGAAAGTTCTTCTCCAGAATATTGTTTATTCATTTCCTCCCATAAGTTTGTAACATCAGATAATTTGCCCAACACTCCATAAGAACGCAACAACACAGTGCTACTCACGTATCCCGTTCCGTCATTAATCGGTGCGTTGATAAGTTCCTTCATCCATCTTGATATTCCAACTTTATCACCTTTTTTATTATAATGATCTATTAAACGGTTAAGAAGACAGATATAATCTTTATAATACATCGATTTGATTAATCCCATGATTTTTTCCACTTTATCTACCTTCTCGTTATTCAAATACGAATTTACCAATGGAATAAAAGTATAAGCGGGTGGGATGATTTTTTCATTTATCATATCTGTCAAGACTTGTTCCGCGTGATTCAATTGATCATTCCAAAGGAACCCTACCATCAAATAATATCCTACCTCCGAATTAATTTTAATCTGCTTTTGCAATAAAAATTTATAAACCGAAAAGATACTAGATTCATCTAATTTTTCGAATCTCAAACTACATTCACGACACACGTCAAATAATCCTTTGAATAATTCAAAAAGAATGATTGGATGCGATTGAATATCCTCCGATCCAATTTCATAAAAAGATTTTATTGCGTTGGCAGGTTTTCTTTCCTTAAAAGCATCCTCAATTAATTTTAAACTTTCCCTTCCACGTTGATCAAGTTTTCCTTTCTCGTCTAAAGACAACATGTCTCTATAAAAAAAGTTTATATATAAAAGACCTTGTTTCCTTTGTTGTGATATCAATAAATTTTGATACATGTCATTGCTAAATTTAATTTCATTCGATTTGAGTAACTCATAAATTTTAAGCACCCTATCATCATAAACGTTCAATATAACGGTAATAAAATCATCCGTCGGTATAATCCCAGCCGATAACATCCCTTGTAAAAATGGGATGATTAAATTTGATCTCTTCTTTATAAAAAGTTTCAACATTTTTAATAAATCATCATCATCAAAGCAACTATTTTGATAAAATTTTATCAACCCCCACAACATTTGTGACCTCTTAAAATTCTTATTATGAATCTTTTCATTCTCATTCTCCTCCAATAACTCAATAAAGACGTAAATTAGATCAATTATGATCTTATTTTTATCAATGTACTTTAATAATGAGATCGCTATATCAGTTTTATCATCCTTAACTAGTGAACTCATTATATTATTCCCTTCACTCATTAAATTAATTTCGTCATGATGTATGCAGTATAACTTTCTGCTCTCAAAATATAATCGTCTAATGGTTCGCTTATCATCCTTGTTTATCGCCTTTTCAATGTCCTTTCGTATCCTTGTAAGTTTGTTAATGCCTTTCTTGTTTTGTTGTTGCGCTTGTAGTTG